ACAGGCGCGGGTTTAGCTGTAGGCCCGCACCTCCTTGCCTTCACCGGGGGCTGGGTGAAGACCAGCTCTGCTTAGCCTGTGGTGAACTTTGACCCCTGCCTTTCTTGCCCTCAGGGCTCTGTGTTATGGTGCCTTGTTGCTGGATAGGTATAGGCTTGGCTCTCTGGCATACTGCTGTCTTAGCCACCTCTAGGAGAGGTGTTTTCCCTTGTACAGAAGAATATGGCAGTGTGATGTATGAAGCTACTGCTCTGTAAGTTTGAAGGGGTTTCAGGAGCCTGTGATACTTGTTTCTACAGGTTCTGTGCCTGTCCTTAGAAAATTAACAGTCATCATAGAAAGCTACCATCTAGCATAGATGCTAGAGTGAAAGATGTTGTTTTTCTTTGTGTTTCTGTTAAAAGTTGTTTCAAATGTTTTGGGCTCAGGTTCTCCAAGGGGGCTCCATATGGCTTTTCTGTTGGTATTGTGCTAGTCCAAAACTAACTTATATTTCATAGATGGTGTTTTGCCAGTCTTGGGGGTCTAAAATCACCTATCTTTGTCTGTCTTGTCTTCTGCTGCTAAGATGGTACTGTTCAGGTGCAGCGTTGGATCTTAACTCTATGTACATAAGAGCAGTGAGGTCTAATCTCTGCAGGGCCTGGAGATGTTATTGCAGTACAAATACATGGTAATGAAGATCACTGTCCAGGGCATATGCAAACATCTCAAATGCTGTTTACACAGCTACGTTGCACAGACAATAGAATTAACATCCTTCTGTCCTAAACCACAGGCCTATGGAGCTTAAATGGGAATTTCCCTTAGCTGTTGCTTATGTCGTCTTTGCTTCATGTCAGCCGCTACTAATAGAAGTTAATCGGTCACAAACATATGAGTAAGACTGATTTCTTTCAGCAGAGGGCAGTGGTGCACATAGGCATTGTCTTATAACCTTTATACCCTCCTGTCTTCCCAGGCTCCAGTGTGGGATGCTGAGGGGTTCAGAATCATGTGTAAGGTGATTTATCCAATTAAGAAAAAGTTTTGTAACATTTGTTCCGTAGTTTTAATTTTTTAACATATATTTATTTTTTAAATGACTTAAAGTAACGAGAGGTTCCTCTATAAGAAGAACCAGTAGAGAGATATGTGTAGCAGATACTGATGTACAGTCCCTTGTACAATGTAATTTAGGGATTGCAGTTTATGGTATTCCCTTACTTGCAGAATACCCCTTCTTGTACCTAAGAGGATGACCAGGACAAAATTTCTTTGTGTTAAAGAAGAACTGACCATAGGCAATCTGAGACGCTTTTGGGAGAATGAAAGAACATCAGCGTGTCCCTTTTCTTCTCCTATCAGGGGGCTCTTAGACTGTCAGATACCCTAGTGAAAAGCCTATATAGCAATCTTTAACCTAATGGAATGGGTATATGATTTTGTAATAATTTCGGTATGAGAAAAACCACGTTGTCTTAATAGACGCTTAGTTGAACTTGGTAGGGCCCTAAGCCCATGCAATGTATTGCTAAGAAGAGTGCATTTCGGGCTGAAACTTTAGTATATTATTGTTATTTCTGCAACAAATTAATTCCTTTAACAATTGTCATCCATAAACACTGGATTTAATTACTATTTGATACTTTGTAGGGACTGGCAGATCGTATCAGCCCAGCTGTGAGGATGGCTTCTGAATATAACTCTAAAATATTTGCACTGGAGGAAAAAGGGTAAGTTTTGGATTATCATACTTTTTTCTAAGCCTGTTATCCTGATGTAATAAAAGATTTCATAAATAATCACTTAAGAAGTTAAAACGTTATGAATATTAAAATTATGTTACTTAAAGCCTTACTCTGCCTTGGTTGCACAGGCTTCTGCCCTTTGTGCATATTATTTAAAAATGGAGCACAAGGCATAGAAGGGTTGAAAGCCACTTTCCACACCCCATGCTATTCCCCAGGAACTTTCACCTGCATGGGTGCTGTCTTACTTACAGAAGAAGATTGCAAAGTGACATTATTTGTAATGTAAATTGTATCCACACTATTTTAATACCCTTCCCAGAAAAAAATCCCATTAAAAAGCCCTTTGCTTTGCAGCTGTGTGCCAGTGACCAAGTAGGTAATACATGAAAGCTTGCACATCCATATACAGGAAGCTGATCAATCACAGGCAAGCAGGGAATAATTGCCTTTCCCAGCAGCTTACTTTGAGGTAGAAGAGGCTGCTTATTTGTTCCTTGTGTACCCTAGGCAGCAGCATCCACTTTCCAGTGTGTTTATAGATCATGCTGTGGCTTGGAATAGCAAAATGTCTCCAGCACTGCATAAAGACTTGCACAATGGTAGTTCAGTACTAACTATGTAGACTCTCTCTTAGAGAGGGTAGACCCAGGGGACAGTTTGCTGTGAGTCTGAGTTTCTTATTACTATAGGAATTTAACCAATACCTGAGAGGAAATTGGAATTTTGTAGAGGACAAAAGCCCAACAGCGTATCATTTAAGCCATAAACATGCAGTCTGTCCCACTTATTTGAAAGAAGATCTCTCTGAATTTCAATTTATAGGGCTTGAGCTCTAACTTCTGCTTTCTTGCAAGCTATGTTTAGCATGCATACTTAGTCCTTTTGTGGACTGTGAGATCTCCTTTTGGTATAGCAGGGAATGGGGTATTCAGACCAGAGTGTTTGTTAAATATTTTGCAGGCTGCCTGCAGTATCTTATTTCAGCGTGTAAAATAAGGAACAGGCAGGAACCTCTGTTAGA